TCTCTTGTTCTCTGTGTGTGTATTGTGTGTTTGCATTTCACCACAGAAGAAGGGGGTTTCAGAGCTGATTTTCTCTGCCACCTCACTGGGGTGCAGGTAAAGCCTCTCCCTGAGGTTGCTGTATCAGAGGCAGCCAGTGCACAGCAAGGATCAAAGGTCCTGTGTCCCAAGGATGCAGCGCTGGAGCTGGGAGCAGGCGACAGGTCAGTCTGGGAGAAGCTGCTCATGCAAAGCAGCGCTTGCAACAGGAGGGAGCCGTGGTCAGTGTGGTCACACCCGGGCTAAGCAGAGCCCTGACCATGGTCATCCTCACCAGCCCTTGTTTGCTGTGGGGCTGGGGTGAAGGTGTCTCCTAGGCATTCATGCTTCCCCCTGGGAGCCTGCAGTCTGTTTACAGCATACCTCTGGGTAACTCATTGACCTCTGCTGGGAAGCGGAGGTTCCCAAGATGATAAGCCACTCTTGGAAGAAATTCCTTCCCTCGCGCGAGGGAGTGGCGGTGCTGGGCACGCTCGCCCGCCTTGGGAACACGTACACAGCCCTGCGCCGCGTCCCGGCACCGGCAGCGGTCCCCCGGGGACCCAGCTTGCGGAGATTGGAGCTTCGCGGCCAAGAGTGCTCCGGGAGGAAAGCAGAGCAAGGGGTGTGCGGAGGAGCAGGTCAGTACAGCCTCGCACCGCTCTGCCCTTGCAGCCGCTGTGCTGGGTGTCTCTGGCTGGGTGCCGGTCGCATGCCTGCGCCCTTCGTCCCCAGCTGAGCAAACACGGCTGGGGCACAGGGGTTGGAGGTGGCTGGAGCAGTCCAGAGCAGGGACATGGCTGCATGAATACAGGTTGGGGCAGGGAGTTTGTGGTTTTGATCCTGGCTGAATTCGAGGCTCAGATGTGGTGGTGATGGGCACACCAGGGAAGAATAGGTTTGTTTTGGGTTCTTTATACCCAGGAATTGATAGAAGGGCAGGAGAAATCATAGCAGACATGCTGGGTTTAGGAAAATGGATTTGGTCCCAGGAAGGGTGCTGCTGCATGGCAGCCCTGGAGACCAGTAGTGTCTACAGTAGCTCCATCCCCCAGACAAAGGGTGTCTGGACAGTTTCTCTGCCTCCTGTTTTGTGCCCTAGCAAGGGAAGCATGAAGCTGTGGTGCTCTGCCTGCAGAGACTGCCCAGCTGGCACGGCAGCACCAAGTTCACAAAGGGAGCAAAGACCCTGGAGAGCTGGCACAGGCAGGCACCCCCGGGAAGGTGCTTCTCTACTTACTAGGACCAGGGTTTCCCAGGGATGCTAGGATGAGAGCTTCAGCAGTAGAGATCCAGGGGTGGCAAGCAGAGGGGTTAGGGTGCAGAACGGGAAGTTTTTGGGTTGCTGGCCAAAAGGAAAATTCCATTTCAGGTCAAACAGAAGGCTGATACCTTTGCTTGTAGAGGGGAGGGTTTGGTCACTAAGTTACGTAGGTAAACTTAAAAGCAAAGAAGTTTCAAAGCCATAAATGGAGACATAATGAAACATAACATTTAGTTGTTTTAAAATAAATAATATTGTCCCCTGGGTGGAAGAATTTGGTGCTAACTGGTGAGCAGGTACTGCTAAAACCAACAGCATTCTGACTGAAGCAAAAAGCTTTGTCTGAAAACACCTGCTCTGTTCAAGTGCTGACCCCATTGACAGCATGGGCCCAAAACAGAAACACCTTTCATGTAAAGATCTGCCAGATTCCATCACAGAACCCTCTGGTTCCTGCACCTTCAGAGCATCCCTAGGTCGACTGCAGGAGTTTTCTAAATTCGGAGCTTTCCAGGGCCAGTGTGCAACAGGAACAGACAGGGTCCTTGCCACAGGGAGGGCAGTGCTGGCCTGTCCCAGCAGCTCACCTTCATGCAGCTCCTTGCAGACACACAGCTTTGCATGGGAAACAGCTTGACTTTAGCATGCCAGGACAGAGCTGCACAGCTTTGCACCCTGACATCTGGGGCTCAGGAGTTGGGTGAGCTGCAGTGAGGAGGATGAGGAGGATGGGCCCTTCTCCAGCCAGCCCCAACATTTCAACATCTGGTTTCTCCTGGTGAGGACTAGAAGTCCCCACGTTTTCAGCCTTCTCCTGGCCAGGCAGGCTTTTGTTAGAAGCTTCCCAGCCAGCTCCATGAGCACAGACTCCATCCTCCCACAGCCTGTCCTGTAGACAGCTACTCCTTGTGCTTTGCTTCAGGGCTACTGCAGTGGTGCCAGGCAGCCCCTGTCATGGCATGGGAATCTGTCTGGTGAGAAATTACTCACTGGGGTAATTACTCATTACTCTGGATACACTGGAGAAGCTCAAGGTCTTGTCATGCATTGGGATGTACAGTGGCTGAGAAGAGCCAGCAATGCTCCTGGAGCACTCCACAGCAAAGTCACTGCTGTGGTGGCACCGACATTGACTGGTTGCTGAAGTAAAGGTCCATCCCTAAAAGATCTCCCTATCTGTGACTTCTACCCCTAAACCTTTTGGGTTTTATTTTGCAGGTGCTGTGTTGCTCTGCCCAGGGGTGCTCTGCAGACACCAGCCACCCATAGCGCAGTGAGACCACACAGCCAGTCCTGAGTCCTGGTCCTGGATGCTGGGGAAGGTGAGAAAAGCATGTGAGTGAAGAGGGAATGAGACTCCATCCTGGGCAGCCCAAGGGATCCCACACAGCAACCAAATCAATGCCTGCTGGTGTTCACACCTGGGGTTTAGACAGCTCTGATCGCAGAGGTGAGATGAGCCCTACTAGTCTCACAGGAGCCCACGGTGTCTGTGCCTGAAGACAACTTATGTGTGCGTTGCCTGGCCATAACCCTGCTCCACTGAGGTTGGTGTGGAGCGGGTAGTGTTGCCAGCCACCCTCACTGTGAAACAGGGAGAGCATCAGCTTGGCCAGGAGGAAGGTGGTCCAGGAACGGCTGCACAGCCAGCCCCGGGTGGAGGATGCTGGACGAGCCCCAGCGGGGCACCCCTGCAGGTGAGGTGGGTGCTTGTCAGGGTCAGGAACAGGGCTGCCTTTGGAGGTGGGGGGAAATCAACGCTGAAGCTCTCTGGAGAGCCCAGCAGGAAGCTTGGGCAGACCATGGGGCTCCCCAAGCCTTGGCTGGCAGGAGGAATGAAAGGAATGTGCCACGTGGGCTGGGCGACACGCTCCCAGGAGCCCAGGGCAACGGCAATGGTGGGGCCAGCACAGGGCAGCAACGCCACTTGGTGGGATGAGACCCCCTCCCAGAGGGCAGCTTCTGGGTCTGAGGCCCCCCGCACAAGAAAGACATGGACCTGTCAGAGAGGGTCCAGAGGAGGGCCATGAAAATGATTGGAGGACTGGAACCCCTCTTCTAGGAAGAAAGGCTGAGAAGAGAACTATCCAGGGACACCTTATTGCAACCTATTAATACCTAAAGGGGGCTTATAAGAAGGGTGGAGAAAGGCTTTTTACTAGGGCCTGTTTTAAACTGAAAGAGGGGAGATTTAGATTAGATTTCAGGAGGAAATTCTTCCCTGTGAGGGTGCTGAGGCGCTGGCACAGGGTGCCCAGAG